GCTCTGTCCTGCACCTGCCCCAACCCTGGCTGGGCAGTGCCTGCCCCTGCCCCAGTCCCACTCCCTTCCTCACCGCAGGGGCCTCAATCTGCACCCCCCATACCCCTTTTCTCCCCCATGCCCCTTCCTCCCCACAGACTTACCAGCCAGATGCTGCTTTCCAAGCTGCCAGGCTGCATATCGGCTATCAGATCAGTATCGGACGATATGGCTGGTTAATTGGCCATCGATATCAGCCAAAAAAATCTTTATCAGTGCACCCCTAGTAATATTTCTGCTTCCTGTTCTCAATGACAAACCTTCTAAGCAGAACAGCAAACTAAAAAATGACAAATAATGAACATCAGATACCCTTCTTCAGAAATATCTTGGTTCACATAAGAATATGACTAACATTTAATTCATGAACATCTTTTGAACCTAAACCCATTCACATAAATATTCATGATAGCAAAAAGAGTACAAATGGATCAAACTCAATAGCCATTCAAAACTGGAACAGATTTTCATGGAAACTGTAATTTCTAGTTTACTCTAATTCATGTAACCTGTCTCTTCCAGCATATCCATTACCTTATTATCAGAAGTCAGTTTTGAGGCAGAATGTGTTCTTTTGGGGGTTTTGGTTCTGTTTTAATTCCATCCTGAATATCCCCTGTTGTCTCAGAACAGAATTTACTTTACTGAATCAGATCAGTGCTCCAGTTAGTCTGGTTTCCTGGCAATAGCAAATGCTTTACAGAAGAAGATGGAACTGCCATTGCTGCAGTCTTTGAAAGTCATAAACAGAGATGTTTGGCAAGAAAAATACAGACACACCTTTTAACTCAGGTTAAAATGTTATCTATTTACTCAGATTTCTGTGGTATGGGGTGGGGAAAAGGGGCTGAGTTCTAGCCTGTTTATGCATGTGCTTAGAAGTGAAAATTGAAAAATAAACTCCTCTGAAATACACTGGACAGAGGTTTGGGGTGAGGGGGAGTGGGAGTGGGAAATAAGTTGTTGTTAGATAAGCAGTTGTCACACCTCTGTTGAGACACTTGGCAGATACCCATTTTCTGTACCTGATCTATTCAACAGCACTTTTGGGGCCAGAGGACATAATATTCCTCATTCCCCTACACCACTGGTCAATTGATGCATGGGGGATTTGAAAGTTCCTCTCTTGGCTTGTGTAACTGTAAACATTAGTGCTGGTTATAACATTATCCGGACTCCTGTTTAATGCCAGCTATAATATTTGACTCTATGATCTTCTCCAGGGGAAAGTGAATTCCATAGCCTGTGTACATGCTGAGTGAAGACACATTTCCTTTCATTTGTTCTTTTAACTTCATTAAGTGAGCCCTTGTTCTCATGTTTTGGGACAAGCTTAAAAGACAGGGGACCAATCTCTCCTTATTAGACTCTTCGTATATTTTAAATACCTCTTCTAATTCTCCTTCAGTATAGACTTGAGGATCATATTTTTTTTAATTCTCTTGTCAGAGGTAAAGTCTTGAAACACAATGAAATGTAATATGAAAATCCTATTAGGGAGGAGGTAGATATTTGGGCACACAACACTTGCAAAATGGAGGCATTTAAAGCACTAAAAATGTGCCTCAGTTACCATTCCTGGTAGCCACCCTAATGGCATTCAGCAGTTCCTTCCAGGTAGAGAATTCACTCAGCAGAAGGATCCCTGGAGTTCCCCAGACCATGGAGTGTCCATATCAGCAGAAGATTTTGAAGCTGCAGGATAGGCACCTATACTTTGTAAACCAGACAGGAGCAGCCAGCGCACAGAGAGAACCAAAGGGTTCTTTGAAAAATGCCTTAAATTAAAGAGCACATTTGCTAACCTCCCCTTGCTCTTTTTTTTTCTCTTTTGTCTCTCACTTCCCTTGTCTTGTTCTGTGGCTGTTTCCCCCTGAAGACCCTCTTTTGCCTCAGCTGCATGATCTGTAACACTTTCTTTCTATTGCTGGTACCATTCAGGGCACGTCCTGGTGAAAATCATGCAGGATCCCATGAGCAGATCTAGGATTTTGAAGAAAGGTATAGATGGTATGGTGCATCATTACATATAACACAACACATATTTTGCTCCAGGTAAAGAGGAACTAGAAGCTTCACTAATGTGTTAGAGGCCTAGGGCTATATTATTTAATTTAAGACTGAAGCAAAAATAAATACAACTTTATTGGAATGTTCACTAATTTGCTATATCATACATTTTGTATTAAAAGCACAATAAACTAGGTAAAATACACAAAAGCTGTTTCCTTAGTCCTGTTGTCAGTAGAATTAAATACATCTCTTTCAGATGCATAAAATAAAATCAAGGCTTTTTGAGCATTTTGACAGGGCATCCAATACTTCACCAGACGTTATTTCCACACCTGAGTTAATGTTTACCCAAGTTAATGTTTCCACACCTGTGTTAAGTTTTTAACTCAAGTTAAAAACAGTCTGCAGGGCTGTGAAGTAGGAGCTACATTACCAGGAGCAGCTACAAGACAACAGAATTGCAGAAGAAAGAATAGCTTGATTATGGTAAGACCATTAAAAAAGTAGAAAGGCTGATTAACCCCTGTGGAATGAAGAGTTTAGAAGAATCAGGTAGATTATAATAAACCATGAAGTCAAGTGTCTGCCTCAGTACCAGCTAAATAGAAATGTTGTTGCCACTGCCAGGCAGTTTGTTTTAAACTTTGGATGGACCAGGAATCAAAGGAGGGGTGCAACTGCACCACTGCCTCCACCTGGATCCACCCCTGCAGGAGCGTATGAATATTTGTCTATATTTTGTAAATTCTAGTTTTGCTAACGTCTCCCTGAGGTGCCATTAAGAGAATCTCAGGCAAACTGAGGGTGTTTGCAGAGACCTGGATAGCAACACACTATATTTTACCTGGTTCAGAAATAAACATGTTAATTTAAAGTTTTCTAACCCAAATAACCTCTGTCATCCATCACTCCCCCACCACTACCTGGACGGAAAGCTGCTTTAATTGCCCTTTCATTCCCCCTACAGAAGGGTCCGAGGAGCAAAATTCAAATCTGAACACAGAGTTAATCCAGATCCACAAGTATCTGAAGCTCAGAAGTGTTTAATGAAGCAGGGCTTTGACTTGAGATTGTCTCTGGTCTACACTTCTTGTCTGTGTTTTCCCAGCATGGTTTATAGGAACATCTTCACCCCATTTTTCTTGATTTGGGAAAATGCCGCTCCTGTCTTTTCTGCTGGAATCAGACCTCCTAGGAGCATCCAGTTGCAGCAGCTGCCAGAGCTCCCTTGCATGCTCCTTTCTTTGCTCATTTCTTTTCTGAGGTTAGGTGTTCCAGGCCCTGCCCCTGTTTTCAGAATGGGAGGGGAGAAAAGGAGCAGAGGAAGCTTGTTCTTGAGGTTCCCCAGCTGGTGCTGGAGGTTAGGGTGTGTGGACTGCAGCCCCCTTTCCCCCCAGGCCCTGGAGGCTGGGTGAGTGGATTGGAGCCCTAGCAGGGGCTGAAGAAACCCAATTAAATTCCCTCTGCTCCCTTTACCCCCTCTCATTCTAAAAACAGCTCAGAGGCTGGCAGGCAGACACAAATTACAGAAGATGCTATGTCTTCAAACATCTTCATCTGAAGCCTCATGCAATGAGGGTTCAGATTTTCACCTGATCAGCCATTTTTGAAGCAGTCTGCAGCCATGCACTTGTGTTTGGTCATCGCTATAGACTATTTTCTGTGGCCAGACTGGGGAAAAGTTGTTACTTCTTTCTGTGCCTTTAAGTTCATTCAATGAACTTTAGTTAAAGAGTCCCAGTGGCCTTTTTTAAACCTGCGGGGGCTTATACACATGAAGCTGAAGTGATGCTAGAGTGTTCCAATTAGAACACATAGACTTGATTAATCAAGTCTGCTCCAACACAGTCTAATTAGAACACATCGGAGCACATGTATAGGCACACTAGTGTGACCCTGTGACTCTGCCTGCATCAGGACACAGCCTCAATCATTCATTCTGTGCTCTGCAGAGTCAGGGTCCCTAGTCCCCACTTCTTGTTAACAGACTTTGGAATAGTGGGAATTAGTGCTTTTTGTTACAGCTCCATTGATTTCAATAACCAGAAGCTTTGCATTGCAGTCTGTAGAGGTGAGTCTAGGAAGAAAGATCTGGACCCAGAAATAAACTTCCCCAAGTCTGGCTATGGTCAACTCTGAGGATTTGTTTCAGGCCATTATCAGAAAGATGGAGGCCAGCTGAAAAATATGGATCCTGGTTCCAACTTCCCCTGGTCTGAAAGGGGCTAGGGGCTATGCTTTGACCAGTCCTAAAGAAAAGGCCAGCTGCAAAGAGAAGATCTGAATCTGAACTTCCTTAAATTTGGCATTTCTGCTCTGGGGTTTTGATTTCATTCCATTTCTAATGCTTTCTCTTCCCAAACCCTTGGGTAGTTGCCCTTTCCTAGACCACATACTGAGCCTTAAGAAACACGCTCCTTAAAAACATAAACACTAAGAAAGGAACACAGAGGACTGAAAGAGCTTTATCAAGAAGTGTTGTTTCTCTGCAAACTCCTTGTAGGAAATCCTGGTGCTCTCACTCTCTCTCAGTGTTTGCTGTATTTATTTCTCTTTCTCCTCCCAAGATTGGGAGCACTTTCTGTCAAACACAGAAGGGCTTTGTGAGATGGGGAGCGGCTCAAACTTTTCCAGCTTGTTAAATATGCACTGCCTCCTTCTCAGACTTGGACATTGACTGCCCCTGCTATTTCACTCTCCCCACAGAAGTAGTTCCAGCTAGTATGATCTTCCAACCATCTTCCCCGCCTTCCACAATAGACAGCTAATAAGCCTGTTGATTATAGGGTCCACTCCCCACATTGCAAATTAGATTTTCTTCAAAGAAGAAACATTCATCAGTGAGGTTTTAAAATGAACAGAAGCGAGTGACAGGAGTGGTTGGCATTGTCCCCCCTCTTCCCTCCCACTTCCCCCTCCCTTTGGTATTTTCCCCAAGAGGGACTTACTTGAAGGTTAATGATTTCCCCTTCTGATGCCATCCTTTTGCTCAAAAGGTCTCTTCCCGAGCTCTCTGCAAACTGCACAGTAGCTCTGGACTCTGCAGTCCCAGGGAGTCTCTAATGCTTTCTCTGGATAGGAGAGTACAGCTGCTGGGAACAGACCTGCTATTCATCTGCCTGATGTGGGACGCCAGCCTTGGCATGAGGCATCTGCTTGGGGGCGAAGAAGGGGTGGCACGTAAAATTCTTATTGTCCTTCAGAGACTGAATGGTCCATGAAACAAACATCTCTCTTCATTTGCTCTGATAGTTCTTGTTCATTACATTTCTCTGCTACCTCTCTGGGTCCAGCTGAGCCCTGTGAGATCACCCAGGCTGGGATTCTGTGATGAAGCCAGCGTACCATAGGGCTCATGTCACAGATTGTACAGGCTTTAACTGTAGTCCTGATCCACGCTGTAGCCTGTCCAAGACTACTGTATGAGGTTGGTTGGAAACCCTAATGGCTGAGAAGGTAAGGGCTAGAAAATCATGTCCTTTTACCACTGCTCTACTAAAGCTATCATTAAGGCTGAGGCAAAATTTAATCACTTCTGGCTTTCCAACCAAACAAACCCCAAACAAAACCTTTAGGGCTACAATTTTTAATACCTAGTCTGAGCTGAGAAGTTAGAAGAAACCAAAAACAGTCTTACACAGAAATATGCACAACCAAAATGAATATAGCATGAAAGTAATACGTGCAGGATCCTTTTACAAATGCTGGCTCCAGCTTCATTATCTCCAGATCTATGAAAAGAACAGACATCACTTACAGAAGAAGCTACTGATATACTGGTGTTTCCCAGCAGAATGTCGTCTCACAATAATATTAGTGATTAGTAGTTTTATGGACAATAATACTAATGCTTAGTAGTTCTATGGCATCATTTAAAAGCAAAGTTGTCCAACTTCTGAGCGGCTGGGGAGTATACCCTGTGTGTGCCTCCCACACTCCATCTCCCTCACCCCTGTCACACAGACCGCAGCCCTCTGGGCTCCCATGGGTCACCCTGTCTTGCCCCCAGGGCCAGGGCCAGGGCCAGGGCCAGGGCCAGGGCCAGGGCCAGGAAATGGAAGATGGAGGAAGGAGGGGGAACCCAGAGACCCCAGCAGCAGCAGTAGGAATGGTGGTTGGAGTGGCAGCTGGGCACAGCCCACAGGCTGGGTGTTAAACCCTTGCAGGCCACATGCAGCCTGCAGAGCATTGGGTGGCCAACCACCATCATATCCTTGTGAAATAGGCATAAGGATCCCATATTAAAGGTGGATAAGCTGAGGCACTACAGCATATGTTAACAGATGGCTAAGGTTACACGGAACATCTATTGTAGAGTCAGGAACAGAGCACAGATCATTTGATTATCAGGCCTTTGACATACCCGAGCAACTTTCTTCCCATGGCATAAATTGGGAAGCAAGAAAAATAGTTTCTGTAGGAAAGGATGGGAAAGGTAGATGTCTTTCAAAGCTATTGTAACATATTCTTGGTTCACTTAAAAGATTACTGCTGTTTACATCAATCTAAAGAAGCAACAGGTTACTTAACAATCATTTTGAAAATCCATCTCATATACTTGTACAGGGAATCAGTGAAGTTAGTGACAGTTAACTTGTACTCTTGGAGGGAAGGTCTGGGGTTCACAATGCAGGCTCCTGAGTGCTAATCCATAACAGCAGACTGACATTGCAGCAGCTTCCCATTTGGCATTTTTTTAATTATATTTAAGATTTTTTTTAAATAAATATATACCATAGCAATTTGTTCTTTACCCAATTTAAACATTCTGACTGGAACCTCTTTCTATATGAATAAGAAATTTCCCTTTAGACATAACTGTTGCAAACATTAATATTGAGAATTACCTGCCCTAAGTTGCTTTTCTTAAAGAAGTCTATAAAAAGAGGCCACAGCTCAGCTTATTTATAAGCATAGTATATTAATAGGTAATATATACATATCCAGATATACCCTGTCTTTTCAGCCAAGTCATGAGTTCTGAGGACAGTTCATGCAATTGTTCTTGTAAGCAGGTCTGTGAAAAAAGACCCATGAGTCCTTGCCACAGATTTGCTGTTCTCAGATATCCTCCTACCTGTTTCATGGTAGGCTCAAAATATATTTCTGTGGTAAGAATGGAGGAAGTATCTAACTGGGTTTTTTTTAGAAGACAAATATCAGTACTAATTTCAGTCAAGACCGCAAGATATCTAACAATGCACCTTTTAGATCAATTTCTCTCAGTACTTATCTGAAATTTTTGCCATGCTCTCCAGAGAGATATCTCAAAGAGTAAAATCTTAGACCATGGACTCAGAACAGCTGAAGAAATCAAGCAAAACTTACAGTAACCCTTCTGTCCTTCCAGATACCTAAATCAAACCCGCGTTCCCAGTACCCTCTCCCAAGATACCATGAAAGAGTCTTTCTTCAGGAACATAATATTAGTAATGATGGTATGCAACCTCCCTCAGAGTGTCTGGAGCCGAACACATTAAAATACAACAACTTCAAACAGCAAAATCTCTTTTGGAGATTATTTTCGTATCTCATATTAATAGCAAAGCTATGAATCTGAAAAAGCAGACAGATAGCAAAATGGGTTTGTTTCCATTTAATTTTCATAACTAATAGGGGAGTAAGATGGAATGCCTCAAAGGAAAATTCCAGTGTAACAAAAAACATGATTATTAGAAGAATAAATAGATGTCTCCAGTAATTATTAACTATCATACAAGAATCTGCCATCATCATGGTGTAAAAGAATAGTTTGGGACAGTATTTGCATGCTGGATCAGTTTACAAAAGGAATTATGCCATAGAGTTGATGGCGATAGGAGTGACTGGCAGAAGTTCCTTTCCAGTTTCAAGTTCCTAATTCACCAGAAAACAAGAGAATTCTAAAGGCTGTTTTTTTCTATGGCATACAAAAGGATAGAGTAAATGTTATATACACCTGAGAACACAAAAGGGAGATGGGTGGGTAAAGTGTATCTGGAAAGCAAAGGGACGTCACAAGAATGATATGGGAGCTATGTGCCACTTAGGGGCCAAGTTGCATGCAGCTCTTGTGGTAGAGGGTGAGAGGACACAAAAAGAATCTTCTTTGTGTTCCTCCCACCTCCCATAGGATCTTGGCTTCTGCTAAAGGGGTATGGAAGAAGGCAGAGCCAAGCCACTGTTGCCTCAGCACCAGCTAAAAGAGACTGCTGACTGCAAAGAAGAATTAATGCACATTGTTTTAAGGGTGCTGCAGCAACTACAGTCCCTAACAGCTCTGACATGCACCATGATACTCCAGAGGGAGCCGCAGTTTTGTCCTCCTACTCAAAAGCAGATGAATCCTACCTTAACTCCCCCGCTACAAGAAAAAAATACTTTTGAGAACTCCTTCCAATCTCTTCCAACCCCTGCAGTCTAACCAGAAACTAAAAGAGGGTGATCATTCTAGGTGCACAGAAGGGATTCTAGGATGATCAGAAAAATAGTCTATATTTTGAGAGGAGACTAGAATAGCTTGCCTTGTTTCACCTGATGGAATGAAGGCTGGGAGGGGATATGATTGCTGTCTATAAATACATCAGGGAAGTAAACACCAGGGAGAAAGAAGACCTATTTAAGCTGAAGGACAATGTTTGCACAATAACAAATGGGTGTTTCTAACCATGAGAGTAGTACATTTCTGGAATGGCCCTCCAATAGGCCTCCAGTAGGGGCAGGAAGCCCAGCCAGTTTTAAGATCAAGTTGGATCGATTTACGAAAGGGATTCTAGTTGCCTGCAATAGCAGGGGATTGGAGTCAATGGCACTAGAGATCCTTTCCAAGTGTGTGTCCTATGTTCCTATGTTCCATTTGTGAACTTCCTGTGGGTCACACTTCTGGCTTGATAGCCCATGTTGTAGGGTATATGACAGAAAGGGCAACATTTTTTAAAGTGCTGTGACTGAGGAACCTAAGGCACTTTTGCAAAATTAACACGGAGACTAAGGAACCTAATTCCTCATGGCATTCAATAAGCGGTACATTTTCAAACATCTAAATCCTGTCTGGCAGGACTGGCTTGGCTTGCAATTGCAATAGGCCTACATAGAGCTTATTGCAGGGCCGGGCAATTATTTTGGGCAGAAGGCCTCTTACTGAGTTTTGGCAAGCCATCAAGGGCTGCATAACAGGCAGCCCAGGGCAGATAAATATTAATTTTCTAAATTTTTTAGGGGCCCCATGTGCCAGATAGAATGTCCTGGTGGGCCACATCTGGCCCCCAGGCCACATTTTGCCCACCCCTGGCTTATTGTAATGCTTAGTAATAATATTTTAGAGGCCCCTTGAGAGTAGGGGAAAAAACCTAATGATTTCATTAAGAGATCAAAACCAAAGCTTACCTAAAATTATGGAGTAAGAGGTATTTGAATTCAGTTCTATTCTTGCAAGAAGTCCAACTAGTCAATATTCCCTGAAATATACTGTATCAAAACATGCTCTGCCAGTGAAAAAGATAAAAGAACTATATCAAAAGAATACAGTGCCTCTGGCTGATCACATCCCAAGGGTAGGACAGTTGCATTCTACTCTCTCACTCACCTCAGGTGAATAATTTTAACAGACAAAATAACATTAGTTTGAGTTCCCTAAGCATCTTTCAGAAGCTGATGATTTTACAAATCAACCATTCAAAGACGTTAAATACAGAACAGTTAATGGGCAGCGCATATTGCAAGACTCACCCTTCAAACTCCTTCAGTAGAGGCTCTCAACTCAGTTCAGAAGCTGGCTAGATGGGAGAAGGAAAATATGAGCCATGTCTTCTGGTGGTATAAATCAGAGTAGGTCCGTATAAGCTTACTGAGCTATACCCATTTACACTAGTTTACAAGAGAAGGGAGAAATACCATAGTAGTTATATGGAGGGCTCTGATTGTCCCTTGCATGCACTGTGTATAGTTACTCACACTGAGGAAGACAGACTGTAAAATACTAACACCAGTATGAGTTAGTGCAGGGGTCAGCAAAATGTGGTCCAGGGGCTGGATGTGGCCCACCAG